TGAAGGCCCAGAAGGAGTATATAATACGTTTCTGTCATGTGGGAGGAGGACCCGATTACCTTTTCCCACCAGGGCCCAACGTACAGATTAACGAGTCGTCCTCCCTCCTCCTCCTCCCCCCAAATTATTGGATTTTTTTTGGTTAATTATTAGTCTTTTCTCTTGCTTGCAATTCCCAGCTGCCTGCCACTAAAATATCTACGATTCTTTCAGGGTTACAATGTTCTCCTTTTTTCAAGAATAAAAACAATAATTATGTATTTTAGTAGTTTTTTAAGGTTTCCCTTATGTTTTAACTTTGATTCCAAATTATTAACAAATGTGATATTTGGCTAAGATCTGAGCCTAAATTTTATTATATAAATACACCATGTCACTGAAATCTTGTTTTGACGACGAGGATGAGACTCTAGAATCTTTAAATCTTATATTTCATTAAATTTAAATTAATAATGAAATAATAAAATCTAGAAGAAAAATTTAATAATGCTTGAAAATAAACTTAACGGTATTAAATAGAAACGTAATGGAAATAAATATAAAAGAGTTAAGTGTCAAATTTCGGAGGTATTTAATAAAACCAAAAGCGAGGCATATAAAAAGCAAGGGAGGTATAGCGACCTGTAGTTGGGCCCAGACTCAAAATCATGTCCCTGTCAAACTCGTTACCAACTTGCTGTGAATTACAGGAGCGGATGCTCTGTGGCATTTGCCTTTCATTGTAGCCTTGGTCTTGGAATACTGGATGAAGGAACATGCTAGTTGCCCCCTGCAACCATTTAATAAGCCAAAAATCTCTAGATGACTGTATGCGTATGAAAAGGAAAATTCCTAAGGAATCCCATTGAAATAATTTCTCAAGGAATAACATGTTATATACACGGTATAATAGCTAATGCTCTTGAATTATTTGAAAATTTTTTATTATATTCAATCAAATATTTATATTTTGATTTCAATATATTTTTATAATTAATGATTGATTAATTATTATTAATTAAAATATCACTTACAATTTTAAATTATATGTCATAAAAGATTATAACATAATCATATGGTATTTTTTATATTTTACATTAACATCATATGTATATAAAATGATAAGTAATATTTTAATTAATAATAATTAACCAACTGTTAGTGTAAAAGTTTATTTAATCAAAAATAAAAATATATAAACTCAATTAAATATAAAAGAAAAATAAAAATTTATTTCAATTGTTTTTCAAATAATTTAAGAGTTTTTTTAATATTTATTTGAATTAAATATATTCAAAGTTTATTTGCTAAATGTTAATTTTTTTAATTATAACTAATTATGCTTTTGTTGTTGGAATAATTAGTCAAAGGTTTATACAAAAAAGTCGAGAACAATTATGGTCGTAGTGATTGTCCAATTTTAATAATTTGAATATAATAATTGTTGCTTTTACAAACATGCATGAAAAGTCAAGATTGAATAAGGGTTCACGATTATGAATTTTTGACTCAATGCATGATTAAGTACCGACATTGTAAATATATACGAATAATCAGGATTTATATGTCCGAATTTCAATGCCCCCCCGCTCCTTTGCAACTTTATTGGGGCATGCACGAACATGACTCTCCTTAGCTAACCTATAGTTTTGTAGCTTTAGTCATATACTTGTGCATGCTTCAATATCACAAAACCTTATAAAATCTTTGTACATAAGAAAAAAAATGATGGTTTAAATAGTTAAAAAACAAAACCATGAATTATGGTTATTTATACAATTAAGATTATTCTTTTATTGTATATTTAAATAATTTTTTATTATTTATTCTCATACAAGCTTTTAACTCTAATAAAAAATTTACTATTAGATTCAATGTCATATAATATTTTGTATTCATATGATATATGATGTAACTTGATAACATGAATATCACAAAATCTTATAAATCTTTAAATGTAAGAAAATGATAATTAAAATAGTTAAAAAAGATCATGAATTATGGTCACTTATACAATTAAGATTTATTTTTTATTATATATCCAAATAATTTCTTATTATTTGTTTTTATTCAAGCTTTTAACTCTAACGAAAAATTTAGCGCTTGACTCAATATCAGATAGAATTTTCTATTCATGTGGTATATTAGTTTTCATTTAAAATATTTTATTTGAAAGTAATTTTTATTTAGGATATTAAGAGTTTGAATAGGTATAAATAAAAAAATAACAACTTATTTGGATCTAATAAAAAAATAAAGACTTAGTTATATAAATGATCATAATTCAAAGATTTTTTTTATTATTTAAGTAAAAAAAAAAAGATACTTGAATTAGAACCAATAATTCAAAGGCTGATGGTGGGGTATGTATTGGCTATATCTTATGAGTTGTGATTCAGATGATGGTGCCAGACTGCAACTTTTGCATCTCTGACCTATTATTTCTTTTTTTTTTTGGTAGTAAAGTTCAAAAATCACATCATTCAGCAGTGTTGCCCCGGAAAGAGAGAAGAGACACGGCCTGCTTAGGGTTGTCTCAAGTGACCACAAATTCTCACATGCTCGACTTTAATTCTATTCGTGCTCATAGGGTGTGTATATATACATATATGGTGCATTAAATGAGTGACTGCACGAAGTTAATAAAGTTGCCTTGAGCCAATAATAGAGCACGCCATTTAAACCAGCAAACGCCCCTCCGTTGCCCACACAAATAATTATTCCATGCAGGGATGGGGCACTCACGTCGTAGGCTACTAGGCTATGTGGGAGAGGAGCAAGTAACTACTCGTCTTCTAGAAGTCAAAACTCTTACGTTTGTTGGGTCACCACTTGCCATTTCTGTTCCAGAAAATGGGCCT